ATTCTTTCAGCAGAATACTCTTTCCAGTGTTACCAATGTCATTGGTATCAATGTGGGTGACAACTAGTGGACCCCCACTATGTTCTTCTCCAGCCCTGAGGAGATGTCCTGAACTGGCACCAGGCAGGCAACACCCTCCTTCAGGAGTGCTGCTCAAAGTTGCAGAGGACAGTATCTACCCCCTTGGTTACACGGTCCTGACCTCTACCACATTCCTATTTCCTCCCCCACTTGATTGGCTCTCTGTACCAAGGTGGCATGGTCAGTTTACTCATTTTCCCTTTAGCCCCTAATCTCATCCACTCAGTTTGTAAGTACTTCATAACTGTTAGATAATTGCAGGGGTCAAGGTTCCTTGAATGCCACTCCCTAGGTCCTTATACCTGCATCAGATGCTGTCACACCCTCCTGTCCCTGATCACAGACTAAATTTGAATTACCTAATCTGAGGGGTGTGACCACCTCTGGGAGGAAAGTATCCAGGTAACTTTCCCCCTCCCTGATATGATGCATTGTCAATTTGGCGGCATCAGCACAGCAGTGAGAGTGGGCTGTGTGCGGAATGCTAGCAGCCTCCCGGTGATTGGATGCATTGGCAGCAGCGGCAGCAATGACATGGCACTTACCAACATTCAGGGCAGCGGTGGCAAAGTTCCTCCTGGTGATCAGAGGTGGCAGTGGCAACAGAAACATGGCTCCTTGCACCAATCGATGCGAGACTGTCAGGCTAACCTATACACCAGGCCATGGCTAAGTCTAGGTGTCTGCATTGGTGGCTTCCAAATACCGTTATGGAGATAAGACTTTAGACTTTGAGATCTGGAGGTTTTCTTACCTTCTGGCTCTTTTAGAAATTTTTTTATTTGATTTTTTAAAATTCTGGTTTTGTAACCAAGATGGTGCCAGAAAATGATGACTTTGTGCACTTTCCGCTGTAGTTATGTATTCCTATACTTGCGTACACATGATAACAAAATCTAATTCTAATTCCAATATTTTCAAGTCAGGATGGTAAGGGGCTTGGAGGAGAATTTGCAGGTGGTGGTCTCCCATGTATCTGCTGCCCTTGTGCTTCTAGGTGGCAGTGATCATGGGTTTGGAAGGTGCTCTCTGAGGCTCTTTGGTGAATTTCTGCAGTGCATCTCTCACAGATATTACACACTGCTGCTACTGAGTGTGGATGATGGAGGAAATGGAAGTTTCAACACATGTCTTCACACTCCTGACTTGTGACCTGTAGATGGTGAACAGGCTTTGGAGAGTCAAGAGATGAGTTACTCACTATGGATTTCCTAGCCTCTGACCTGCTTTTATATTTTTTATACGAGTAATCTAGTTCAGTTTCTGGTCAATGGTGACCCCCAGGATGTTGATAGTGGGGGATTCAGTGATGGTAACACCATTGAATGTCAAGGGGTGATGGATAGACTGCTGGAGATGGCCATTGCCTGCTCTTCGTGTAGTGTGAACATTATTTGCCATTTGTCAGCCCAAACCTCGATACTTTCCAGATCTGGCTGCATTTAAACATGGGTTGCTTTAGTATCTGAGAAGTCATGAATAGCACTGAACATTGCACAATCATCGGCAAACATCCCCACTTCTGACCTTATGGAGGGAAGGTTGTTGATGAAGCTGAGGGTTAAATCTTGGCCAGGACACTAAGGAAGCGCCTTTTTTTTGCAATAATGTCCTGTGACATTTTAAATTCACCTGAGAGGGCAATTGGAGTAATGTTGAACCTCTGCCAAAAGGACATGAGTTTCTCATAAGCAGACCATTCATAATCCAACACCAAGCAATTATTCAGGGTGAAAATTGGGGGAAATCTCCAAGCTATAAGAAGAGGCTAGAAAAACTCAGGTTGTTTCTATGGAGTGGTGGAGGCTGAGGGGAGACTTGATAGAAGTCTACAAAATTATGAGATGCATAGATAGGGTTGACGATCAGAATCTTTTTTCCAGAGATGAAATGTACAATACTATGGAGCATGCATTTAAGGTGAAGCAGGGAAAGTTCAAAGGAGATGTGAGGGGCATGTTTTTTACACAGACATCAGTAGGAGTTTGGAACATGCTGCCAGGGGTGGTGGTGGAGACAGATACGATAGGAGCATTAAAGGGACTTTTAGATAAGCACATGATTATGAAAGAAATGGAGGGATATGGAGCAAGGGCAGGCAGAAGAGATTAGTTTAATTTGGCATCATGTTTGGCACAACATCCTGGGCCACAGGGCCCATTCCTGTACTGTACAGTTTTAAGTTCTAATTTCTATAAGGTCAGTTCACTCCTGTTGAATTCATCTGAAAGATGGCACCTCTGACAATGCAGCTCTCCCTCAGCAGTACAACATTCTTAGGGTGGGGTTCAGTTTCTTGAACTGGTTAAGATGTTTCTTCTTCTGCGGCCGCAAATTGTGTCTCACTAACTTAATTGAGTTTTTTTGAAGAAGTAACAAAGAAGATTGATGAGGACAGAGCAGTGGATGTAATCTATATGGACTTCAGTAAGGCATTCACAAGGTTTCTCATGGTAGATTGGTCAGCAAGGTTAAATCACATGGAATACAGGGAGAACTAGCCATTTGGATACAGATCTGGCTCGAAGGTAGGAGACAGAGGGTGGAGATGGAGGGTTGCTTTTCAGACTGGAGACTGGTGTGCCACAAGCATCAGTGCTGGGTGCACTGCTTTTGTCATTTATATAAATGATTTAGATGTGAACATAGGAGGTATGGTTAGTAAGTTTGCAGATGACACCAAAATTGAAGGTGTAGTGGACAGTGAAGAAGGTTACCTCAGAGTACAATGGGATCTTGATCAGATGGGCCACTGAGGAGTGAGAGATGGAGTTTAATTTAGATAAATGTGAGGTGCTGCATTTTGGAAAGGTCAATCAGGGCAGGACTTATATACTTAATGGTAAGGTCCTGGGGACTGTTGCCAAACAAGGAGACCTTGGAGTGGAGGTTCATAGTTCCTTGGAAGTGTAGTCGCAGGTAGACAAGGTAGTGAAGAAGGCATTTGGTGTGCTTATCTTTATTGGTCAATGCATTGAGTATAGAAGTTGGGAGGTCATGTTGCAGCTGTACAGGACATTGGTTAGGTCACTTTTGGAATACTGTGTGCAATTCTGGTGTCTCTGTTATAGGAAGGATGTTGTGAAACTTGAAAATGTTCAGAAAAGATTTATAAGGAGATTGCCAGGGTTAGAGGGTTTGAGCTATAGGGAGAGGCTGAATAAGGCTGGGGCTGTTTTCCCTGGTGCGTGGAGGCTGAGGGGTGACCTTATAGAGGTCTATAAATCATGAGGGGCAGAGGCAGGGTAAATAGACAAGTTGTTTTCCCTGGGGTGGGAGAGTCCAAAACTGGACGACATAGGTTTAAGGTGAGAGGGGAAAGATTTAAAAAGGACCTAAGGGGCAACTTTTTCAGTCACAAGGTGGTGCATGTATGGAACAAGCTGTCAGAGGAAGTGATGGAGGCTGGTACAATTACAACAATTAAAAGGCAACTGGATGGGTATATAAATAGGAAGGGTTTAGAGGGATATGAGCCAAATGTTGCCCACAAAGCTGCACCAACGATTTGCAAAGCCAAGATATCTAAGCAGAACCTGAGAGGCTGCTGTGATGGCATCCTAAACTAGAGGACAGAAGTAGAAGTTAGTCCCCACAAGATTCAATAGGAATTACAGGAGAAAGTGCTTTACCTAAAGTGGTCCGTGTCAGGGTTTGAAAGGGTTAATACTCCAGAATGTCTTAGGCACCATCCACTATGATGCTATCATAGGGACTTGGTGGGAGAACAAATTCGGATAGTGCTTCCTAAATCTGTTGCTGCAGATGCCACACCCAGACTTGAAATTTAATGTGATCCCACAGTGTGAAGTGTGAGAGTTGAGTGGTAGATCAGAAGTGAGGGGGTATTCCTGTCAGACTGGGAGCACAGCTGGTATAACTCAGTCAGGGCTCCACTGTGACCACTGCTGCCTCAGAGTTGAGGATGGCAACATTTCAGTTCTGACACCACTTGGGCTTTCTATCCACCCCACCTTGTAAAGCCCAAGTTTAGGATTATGAACAGCAAATGGCCAAGATCTAGGTCCTCCTCTTAATCTCAATCTAGACAGTTTCTAATCCAGGCTGGAGCAAATGGGACTAAACCCAGGCCTCCCGGCTCAGAGGTAGAGTCATTGCCACTGCACCAAAAGAGCCCATACTCTCAGTCTATTACATCAGTGTAACTAGTTGCTATCATTAGAATAACCAACATCTTAATAAAGACAAGACCCCTTTCTTGTTAAACTATCAAATCTGTTTTCTCCAGCACACCAAACCAAGAAGGCCCTACCAGTGGAGAGAATAGTGGCTACAAATCTTCCACGTAGCTAGCTCACGATGGGCAGGACGGACGAATCATTATACAGCAGCAACGAAAAGGTCACAGATCCATTGACACAGATACTGCCTACATGATCTGCTCTTTCAGCATTTTCGGTTTATCTTTCACTACCACAAGGATTTAAGGCCAATAACATTTCAGGGGAAGCTTAATAAACACACCGCTGGAGAAGGAATGTGGTGAGACGTGTCCCTCATTGGGAAGTGTCAACAGGGTCTGTTTCTGTGGTCTAAATTGTATCCAAGAGTCGTATCCGAACTGCCCATAGGGGCCAGATTTATCATTTGTCAATGAAGGATCGGTGATGTATCACTTCCTGGAATTGATTGATGAGAGAAAAAAAACCCACATAAATTAAATAATTCTAACGTGTAGTTTTGAAAAACCTTTTTCGGCCGGTAGCTTCATTTACAAAACTTCCCAACAAGATTTGCTCACAAACAGCCCGCTCACCATCCCACCCTGCCTTTTTCCTGGGAGAATCAGTGCCAATGGCTTTCTCTCGATTCACATGAAACTGTAACTAAATTCAGAGAAATAACGTGAAGCGGATGTTGCTGTAACAGGCAGCACACGCCCACTGGGCGAAGGAGTGTGTTGTGTAACGAATGTGAAATGTGTACGGTTAACTTTTGGGGGGGGGGTCGAAGAAAAAGATCAGATTTTAAAGGTTGTAAACCCCTCATTTAAAACAGAAGGGTAAATCCGAGCAGGAAGCGTCAGAACGTCACAAAACGTTCATCAACCGAGCAGTTCCTGCTAGTCAGAAACGTGTTAAATGTTTTAAAAAAATAGCGTCTGTGCTCTTGTCTTTTTTTTGTTACGAGTGGTTTTCTTGGAGCTTTCAACCAGCAAATGTTAATCGGAACAAGACGGACACGGGCAAGTGAGCGGAGTAGAGTCGGCCACTTATTTTTCAAAAGAGAGAAAAGTACGAAAAAAAAATCCAGAGAAGGAGGGGGATCCCCCGGGGAGGAAATTCCCGGGCTGCTGGATGGAAATACGCCGATTGCGAAATGACATGGAGGGAACGGAATGGATACAGTCAGTCACTGCCCCCAGGACAAGGTTTAACCTCTTCATATTTACTAACTGCCTGTCGGAGTGAACACTTCAGAGAATCCACATTTAGCTAAGGTGTCTCCCATTAATTAGCTTTCAATATCACTCTGAAAATACGGACAATTTGTGCTAATTTCTGCATTTTTAACATTCTCTGCAACCTCTGAATCAAAATTGAGACAATAATCAATATATATTTTGAGACTGAGGGTCGACTTTTTTGGCAACTTTTTTTAAACAATTTGACACAGCACACAATGTCTTCGCTTAGATATCTCTTTTTCTAAAAACTTACAAGAATTTCGAGAAGAAAATCCCGACTGATCGCTTTCCTCCCCTCCCCTCCCTTTCCGAGTCGAGTAGGGGGAGGTCGCACTGGGAACAGCACTTATATACAATGTCTGTGGATGGCGATGAGAATGGGGAGCAGCAGGAGAGCCGGCTCCCGAAGGCCAGGCTGAGAAGCTACAACACCATCACCACCTTCTACCACGAAACCCTGCAGGAAGTGGGCCGCCTGAGTCGGGAGCTCGCCCTGAAGGACGGCCTGGTCAAAGAGCTGCAGACTCGCCTGGCCGCCTACGAGGGCAGCATCGCGGTCAGTTTCGGCCAGGAGCCCGGGGTCAGCTTCGGCCCGTCCGGCTCCCTTGTGGACTGTCTGCTGCAAGAGGTGGGTAAAATCAAAAAGGAACTGGCGGATTCAGCAAGGATTTGGCAGCAAGAGAACACCAAGCTGAAAGAGGTAAGGGGCAAAAATATCTGTAAAGATGTAAAAATCTTCCTGTGGCATAGTGAAAATATATAATTCGCAAGTGAGTAAAACCTGCTAGGGGTAAGGAATTCCTAATTGTTCAGAAACAGTAGATGCTGTTATTTTATCAGAATGGTTCCAGGAATGGGGAATTTCGGTTTTGAAGATAGTTTGGAGATTCTGGGATTGATGTCCTTTCAGAGAAGGTTAAGTGGATATTTAATTGAAATATTCATTTGTTTCATGGCTTGTTCAAAATTATGAGGTCTGGACAGAGTAAATAGTAAATGTTCCCACTTATGAAATGATCGAGGAATGAAAGGGCACAGATTTTAAAGTAATTAGCAAAAGCAATGAGAACTTTTTTTTAATTGAGCAGTTAAGGTCTAGAATGAATTGCTGGAAAACGTGGTGGAGGCAGGTTCAATTGAAACATTCAAAAGGGACGTAAACTTATCTGAAAAGGAAGAATATGCAGAGTTATGTGAAGATGTTGGAGAATATAACTAAATGAATTTCTCATTTAGAAAGCTTGCACAGGCACAATGACCTGAATGGCGGTCTCCTGTGCTTGTGACAGCTTTGTCGAAGGGATGTGGCACAAAATTAAAACAACTGATCAGGATGAACTGCTGTATTTTTGGGTGTCTTTTAACAAAAAAAATCTACTGACGTCTGCCTAAGCTGATTGTGTGGGTTCTGATACACAGCATTGGTCTCAGTTGACGTAACGGTGTAACTTCCCTACTTCAGAGGCCAGGAGTCCAAACTGCAAGTGACTCACCTTGAGATCCTCTTTAGATTTGAGGCACCCTCAAATGCATAAGGGAGGATAAGATCTGATTCAACTAATATCCTTGAGGAAAGGAAAACAGCCTCTTGGGCTTACCTGTATGACTCCAGTTCCACCCAATAATGGCCTTGGTGGCAAGTCACTCAGTTGTATCAAATCTCTCCCAAGAGCTCCAGAAGAGTCACTATTACTTTCTTATTAAAGATGGCCAATAAATAGTGACTTTGGCCTGGTGCCCACAGCCCAATGAGGAAGAAACAAAGAATACATTTTTTAAGGCGTAAAAATATAAGTTGTTACATTTTTCTTCTTTTCCTAAATGTCAGCCAGATTAAAAGGAACCCTTTTTTTTAAATGAGAAAATTAGAGAAACAAATTGCCTTTGTAATACCTTGTCCCAGAGTATTTCTAGGTAATAAAGTACTTTTGAAGTGCCATCGCTATAGCAATTTAGGCTCAAGTTCCCAAAAACAGCAGGTAATAAAGATCCGAGTCTGTTATAGTAACATTGGCTGAGGGATAAGTAATTGGCCAGCACACTGTGGAGAATACCTCTGCACTTCCACAAAACTGTAGTGTGGTATCACCTGAGAGGGCCTGCAGAGCCTTCTCCAAAAGAGTGTCTCTGATAGTGCAGCACTGGGAGTGTCAATCTAGATAGTCAGAAATCACATGAGAGAGGTGGTATCACTATCTCTCACCAACACCTGAAGAAGGACTGAGGCTCTGAAAGCTTGTGTTTTCAAATAAACCTGATTTTGATTGAGGGATAAATATTGTGCGGGTCACCAGGGAAGACTCCTGTACTCGTCTTTGATTAGGGGCCATTGAATCTTTATGTCCATCCCATCTGAAAGAAGTCACCTTCATTCTGGCACCAGGGATGTTAGAGCTTAGATTTTGTGTTGCAGTAGGAATTGAACCTGCAACTTTCTGAATTGGAGATGAAAGTATGATCCACTGAATCGTGTCTGACCAATCATCTTGCTGTTGGCCAGACATTTGGTTTTCCTATTTTTCTGTTTCTGAGGCTAGAAGTCTGCAACCCTAAAATTCCTATTTTCTGCATTTACTCCATGGAGTCCACTCTTCCTCATGACTCCACTGTTGTCCACCCAACTGATTCACAGCACCCTTTGTGTTCCTGGAATGTCTGACAACCATTCACAACAACACATCTCTGTAATATTGATTTTCAGGATGTCCGTATCACTGGCAAAGACATTGTTTTAGTGACCGTCCCAAGTTGCTCAGAAGGTGGAGCTGGCCCACTGTCTTGATATCAATGGTGGTTTGATACAGTAGAGTGACTGCTTGGCCATTGAGTAATTAAGAGCAAAGCATGTTGGTCATTCTTCCAATAGTTATGATATGATATGAAAATACTCAATGTGGCCTCTACAAACCATGCCCCTCTGAACTGTGAGAACAGAGAAGAATGTCAACATAGTATGAGAGGCCGGGACTAATAATTTTGAGATCAAATTTCAGCAAGGAAGCGGGGAATTTAACTTAACTTGATAACATAAACCTGGCATCAATCTGCATCTGTAAGTGCAAACACAAAATTATTGGATTTTTCTGTTTACAAATGTCCTATAAGGAAGGAAATCTGTCCTTGCCCAGTTTGGTCTACATGTAACTCCTGACCAACAGCAAAGTGATCGAGTCTCAAATGGCCCGAGCAAGTCACTTCTCTCTAGATAGGGATGAGCAATGAGTGCTGGCCTTTCCAGCAATGCCCACATCCCTTGATTTGAATAACCAAGTACTTGTGAATTTGTGTGTCCAAAATTGATTTGTGTCAGCAGAGGTTCTGCTTCTTCCAGAATCACTCTGTGACTGCCACAATTATGGACTTCCCCCTTCTGCATGATCTCTTTTCCCACCCACAAGTAAATCAAACTGATCTATTAATACCATGTAGGTCTCAGTCCCTGGGGTAAAGCAGCGGTGGCTACAGAGAAATTTGAGATTATGCAGAAAACTCAGTGGCACTTTGAAACTCTATATTCAAAGTCGACTAACTCAAGTGATCTGAAAGGTTTTTTTTTAAAAAAACCCACTTCTTTACTCATGGATTAGTGAGAATGTGGAACTTGCTGTCAGAAGAATTGATTGACTTGAGAAGCATCAATGCATTTAAGAGGAAGCCAGATAAACACTTGAGGAAGAAGAGATTAAGGACGTGTTGATGGGGTTAGAGGATGACGGCTCATGTTGTATGAACTCTGGTGCAGACCAAATGGCCTTTGTTAGCACAGTGCAGTTTCTATTTATTTGCCTTGTTCAATTTGAATGATAGGATGATTTAGGTATTCCATTGGGGTGGTGGGGGTCTTTCAACACAGTAGTCTGTACTGGTTACCTTTGCCCATGGGTAGCTCCCTCCCTTTTCAGCCAGAAGGCTACAAGTTCCACTTACAAACTCAAACAATACATTTTGGCTGCTGTTCTATCGCAGTCCTGAGGGGGGTGTTGCACTTTGAGATACCACCTTTTGGGTAGGATATTAAACCAGGACTGTCCTCTGATGGATACAGAGATCACGTTGTACTATTCTGACAAAAAGGGGTTCCTGGTTATCCAATATTTATCTCTCTACCAACTGCTCTTTTTGGGAGCTGGCAATGTATAAATTGGCTCTTCTGGCCTACAAAACAATACTGAGTAGAAACATAGAAAATGGGAGCATGAGTAGGCTGTTTATTCCATCAAGCCTGCTGTGCCATTCAATATGGTAATGACTGATCATCCAACTCCAGTGCACTGTTCCCACTCTCTCTCCAGACCCTTTGATCCCTTTAGGCTAAGAACTATACCTAAGACTTTGAAAAGAGTCAATGATTTGATGTCAGCTGTTTCCTGTGCCAGAGAATTCCACAGACTCACCACTCTCTGGGTGAGAGTCACCCCTCTCTCTCATTTCTCCTCTCAGTCCTGAACAGCCTACTGTGTATCCTTAGATTGTGACCCTTGGTTCTGGCCTCCCCGGTCAGCATGAATATCCTTCCTGCATTTACCTTGTCTAACCCTGTTAGAATTTTATGCATTCCATGAGATCCGTCCTCCGCCTCCTCCTCCTCCTCCTCCTCCTAAGCTGCAGAGAATGTAGTTTGAACCGATCCAATGTCTCTTCATATGCCAGTATGACTGCACTGTAATTACTGTGAGGCCCATCAGGACTTTCTGAGGATGTGAATTGTTGTATAAATGCAAACTTGTTGTTTTACTGGCTTAAATTCTTGCTGAATATATTAAATATCTGATGACAGCATTGCTCACTCTTCCCACAGATCTTGAGTAAACTTCTATAGATTACCATCCTTAATGGAGAGGATTCTTGGCCATATTTAACATTGAAGTTAGACAAGTAAAACTGCATAATTAGAGAATGATTAATTAACAAAATACTGTCTTACAACATTGGGGAAAGGACCTCCTGGTAATCAGTGGCTTACACAGGGTGGAGAAGGAAAGTTAGATAGAAATGTGTATTTACATTGCAGTGACAAGTACAGGGAAAGGCTTGGTAGGTGAGTGACAGCTAAAGGTTGCAACATATAAGGCTGAGGTCAGTCTGGAGTTTTGGAAGTTGCTGAATCTGATCAGAACGTTCTAACTTTTTGATTTCATTTCTGGAATGTATATTTTTACTCACGATGTTTCTTGCTCATCCCTAATTGCCCTTGTGAAAGTAGTGATGAGGCACCACTTTAAAACCATTGTAGTCCAATGTGGTGTAAGTACACCCACAATGCAGCTGAGGAGGGAATTCCAGGACTTTGACCCAGTGACATTGAAGGAATATTTCCAAATCGGGATGGAGAGGCTTGGAGGGGAATTTTCAGGAGGTGATGTTCCCATGGATCTTCTGCCCTTGTGCTTTTAGGGGATAGAGGTCGCGGGTTCATAAAATGAATGTAGATTTATCTCTCAAAGCAGGATCTGAAAAAAATTCAGTGCATTAAATATTTATTTCAGAAGCGAGGCAGAGAGGGTAAAATGCCAAATTTGGATGCTGATTCTGAAACTTGTTAAGGCAAACAGTTAGAAAAATAAGAAGTTGCATTTCCATAGCACGTTTCCTAAACAGATAACATTTAAACGTGCTTCACAGCTAATGATGCTAGACACAGGAATCTCCACAAACGTTAATAAATAATCAATATTTATTCTTGTTGTTTGAGGGTTGAATATTGTCCAGAATATGGGGATACATCTCCCCTATTTTTCTGCTAAACAGTGGTTCATTGGGAGCTTTCACATACACTTTTTTTTTGTCACATGTTGATTGAGCCTTGGTTTAAACTTTCAGCCTGAGGTGGGCACCTCTGACAGTGTGGCACTTGCTGAGTATTGCCCTGGCAGTGTCAGACAAGGTGATCTGCTCGGGAGCAGGAGTTGAAGCCGTGACCTTGTGACAACGAGGCGTGAGAGCTAACTACTGTGGCACCAGGTCAAATGTTAAATGAAACTAACTGGGTTTGTTTCTCTTCATCCCCGCTCCCTTCACTGAAGGATCTGCAGGTGGTTCAGTTGCGCCTCAGGGAGAAGGAACGTGAAGTGGAGCAGATGGTGGGCAGCTCAAAGCATGAGGTGGCCAGTGAGATTGCTCGACTGCGCCAAACCCTGCGGGACAAGGAGAGGCTCAATGCCACCCAGAAGCTATGGTGCCGCTCACTGGCAGATGAGACCGAACAGCTACAGCTGCGGCTGGCCAGCACTGCAGACATGTGCCAACAGTTGGCACAGCAACTGGAGAAGCAGCGGGCAAAGACTGGGCACGGGATGGAGAAGGAACAGAACCATGCCAAACAGGACGGCGATGCACTACCGGTACTTTTCCAAATTGGACACGTTCACGTTTAAAAGTGGGAGGTGTTAAGCCACTGAATGTCACCGAGTTTGTGTGGAGGGGTACTAAGACTTGGCCCAACCCAAGAAATAATCGTTTCGATTGGGGTTGAAGTCTAGACTGGCTCCCCTGGCATCTCACTGTAACTCACCTGCATGTACACTACCCTGCCAGGCACGTGGTGCCAAATACATGGATCTGCTTCCTATTCATTGTGTGTGCAGAGTGATTTGTTACTGACAGAAAGGAACCTTCACATCTTTATAGATTACTGAGAGAACCTGTGCTCAGCAGGATGTGCTGAGCTCCTGATAGTGTAAACTTTTGGGGGCACAATACTTGACAGTGCCGCTCCTCTTGGTATGAACCACCCATTTCCCAGATTAGCAGGAAGCTTCAACACTGCTCCCCAACTTGTTCATTCTGTGTGTGTGTGTGTGTATTTCTCTCTTATGTTTCTCTTCCTGTTTGTCTTTTCGGTTTATTTCCCTCTTTTTCTCCTGCTTCCCCCTCCTCTGCATTACCATCTGAGTGTTCACCATTATTCAATCCCCCTTAACTCTCTCTCTCAGCCTAATGTGACAGTAGCTGGAATTTGAACAGGATTATGGTGTCTGTCTGTCACTGTGAGGCAGCAGCTCCTTCTGTTTGTTTCCAAGGAGCAAGCATTGTCAAAGGAAGCATTGGGAAGTGACAGTAAAACACAAAGCCCCTCTAACCTGATCTATGAAACATTCATGAATATACACTGTGCAGGCCTGGCCATACCTGGGACTCTCTAGCTCCACGGCCTTGCAGGCATTCTTATCCAGCAGACTGGACTTTTTTTTTTTATCAACCTGTTCAGGGATGTTAATGAACACTTCTAGCTGGGACTCGAACTCGGGTCCCCTGGCTTAGAGGTAGTGGGACAGTAGGACTGTACCACAGCCCCTGTACGCTGGCCTTTCTACGGACTGTACAAAACCATCTCCTCCCCGCTCCCCCCACCACCACCACCACCAACTGCAAATATTCCCAAATGCTGCAAATGGACTATCTCAGCTGTTTGACCTTGAGAACCTTTTGGATTTAGTTTTTTTATGGAAAGGTTGAAATTGTAGGCAAAAAACACAAAAGCAGAAATAAAAAGCTTTGAAAAAACACTGGGATAATATGATTTCCAAGGAATAGGTTTGAAATTTCCCAGGCACAGACATGAGATTTATTTCCAGTCAGTTGATGTCGGAGGTTATTGATGATGTGAAGAGTGGACTTTCCCATCCTCCATTTTATCTATTTGATTAATGCTGGGACTTTCCAACAGCAAGAAAGATAGTTATAAAAGTATCTATAGTGCTGCACCACGTTATAATTAACCTTCCTGGTGACATAATTTTGATTGCCTGCCTTCAATACTTTTAACTGAATTTCTTCATTAATGAGAACATTTTCTTTTTTTCTAATATCCAAGTTTAATGGTAGCCGTGTTGTATGACCATTTATAGATGCTCATAGAATGATACAGAACAGAGGCAGACCATCTCAACTATGCCAGCTTTTATACAATGCTCCAGGTACTCCCACAAATGCTGCTCTGTCCCTATTGCTGTACAGTTCTTGCTTTTTCTTGAATTATCCAGTTCTTTTTAATTCTGCCCTTTTTGAGCCATGCATTCCAAATCTTACTAACTTTTTATTTAAAAAAAATTTTCCTCTAGATGTTTTGCCGCTTGCCTTCGATTAGTGTCCCTTGAGTTAGTGACATTCCTGTCAGTGGCAACACTTTCTACTTGTTTACATGTCATTTTGAATAGCTTCATTAAATCACCCCCCTCCCCCACCTCCTAAAGCTTATTGATCTGGAGAGAATGACCCCAGCTTCATTAGACTCTTTACATAACTGAAATCCGGCTCCACTTAGTAAACTGACTTTTGAAAATGAACAGTAAATTGTTTATGGAAAGGTTTATTGGAGGGGTGGGGGAAGGATGTAGGGGGTGCTAGTCTTTCCCTGTAATGTGAAGAGTTCCAGTTAACTTCCACATCTTGATTACAGTGTGTACTTCTGGTCTCCTTACTTAAGGAAAGATGTAAATGCATTGGAGGAGGTTTTTTACATTGATACCAGGAATGAGCTGGTTGTTTATGAGGAGAGGCTGGACTTGTTCCCACTGGAGTTTAAAAGAGTGAGGGGAGACTTGATTGAAGTGAGTAAGATCCTGAACGTTTTCAAAAAGGTGAATGTGGACAGGATCCTTCCTCTTGTGGGTAATTCCAAACTAGGCACCACTGTTTTAAAATGAAGGGTCTTTTGTTCTAAACAGAGATGGGGAGAAAGTTTTTGTGAGGGTCATTTGACTTTGGAACTCTGCCTCAGAAGCAGTGGAAGTGGGGGGGGGTCATTGAATATTTTTAAGGCAGAGGTCAATAGATTCTTGTTAGGCAGAAGAATCGAGGATTATCAGGAATAGATAGTAGTGTGGGGTCCAAGATGCCAACAGATCAGACTTGCTCATGTTGTGTGACAGAGCAGGCTTGGACAGCCTACTCCTGGTCTGTGTTAATTCAGCAAGTAGCAGTGTGTTGTAATTATGTTTCAGTATGTATCTGAACATCGTAACCTTGATATTCACTTAGATTTACTCTGCGGTGTGGAGGGTGAGATTACATGCTGAACTTGCTTTATTAGATGAGGAAACTGAATAATAATAGGAGTTTGTGTATGGAGATTCACTCTGAAATGAAACGTGTGCAGTTGAATGGAAGTCAGATTCCATTTGTTGTCACCCTAAAATTATTTAATTTAATTTGTCATGCCTTTAAAATCTATAGTATAAATTCCAAGAGAGCTATGTGGAGGGAATGAACCCAGGCAGAACAGGGATGATCAGAGAGGTGACTGGTTAGATTGGCAGCTTATGTTAAAGCTGGGGAGAGGAGTAAAACAGAGGAGGGGCAGGAGGGAAATGAAGAGGGAACTGAGGAGCGGCAGAAGGGATAGACCTGCAAACTAAGACCAGAAGATCTCTGCGGATAAAAGTTAGGAAGGATTGATGGAGGAAGTGAAAGTGACTGTGAAATGAAGGATCAGTGAGAGAGAAGGACTGTAGGAATCAGTGCTAAGTTCCAATCTGAGACATTAACAGCTCCAGGCAAACTGGCTGTTCCCAGTATATTCCGAGAAAGTAGGTTGACCAGGTTGAGCTTTTTTTAAAAACTGTGTCAGCATCCATACCATGAGTGCTGCCATCTCCACACCGATTCCTGTAGGTTTCAACAGGAATGTACAACTGCCCGTCCATACACTCTGCCACTCTGCCATTGGTCGCACAATATTTCCATGTTTGTGGAACCCCTACTATAGTCCAACCTTCGGAAGTGAATGGACTCTTCAGTACCTAATTGGGTAATTATTATTAAATTGTAGGACTTGGGTGGCACTGGCTGGTCCAACATTTACTGTCCATCCCTAGTTACCCTGGATAAGTTTGTGATGAGCTTCCTTCTTGAACTGCTGCAGTCATTGGGGTGTGTAATGTTTTATATAAACAAAAGAGTTCAAATAAATAATCTTTCTGAGAGCCCTTCATTGCTGTGAAAAAGCAGAAGAATAACTTTGACCATGTATTTCCATAGCAACATCAACCAAGGTTCAGGATCTAATTTGGTAAGGATGTGAAAGTCTGAACAAAAGCCTCACAATGTAACCTTTCCCTCAACAGCCACGTCAGGCAGATTCACCAGACAGCAACATTTGCCGACTGCAAGAGGAGAACCAAACACTGAAACAGAAAGTCCTTTATGTAAGTAGATTCAACCATGTTCCTTTCAGCCAGCAGTAAACAAGGCCTGCCTCTTTGTTCCAAAATTCTCATCCTTTTCAGCCCCTTTCCCTTCGGGCTTCCCCGTTTACAAACCTCTGCAATCTCTTTACAGCCCTCTCCAGTTTTTGCATTCCTCTATTGTGGTCACTTGAACAGCCCCTGATTTCCTTTGCCTCACTCTTGGTGGTTGTGCCCTTGGTCCTGGAATCTGGCAGGTAGCAGCTCCCTGAAAATACTGATGAGATAAATGGCCAGTAAATGTGCCTTTTGTGATTGGCCAGGCTAGCAAGAGGATGTCCCTACTCTTTTCAAACTGGTTGCCAATGGGATCTTTTACACCACTTGGGAGGACGGATGGTCAGGCCTTGAGTTTAACCATTTCATCTGAAAGACAGCCTTTTGTGTCATACTGTCTGGTGCAAAGACCTGTGTGTCACCCACTGAGCTAAAGGACACTGGAAGTCTCATGGTGTGTGGCACTGGAGTCCCATGCTTGGCCAAACAAGGTGGGAAAACGTTGCGTTTTGGGTTGTGGGCAACACTTCTTCCCTCGCATATCTAATGGTGAACACTGTTATTTACCAGGCTCTTTACGGGGTTGACTGTAAGATCTAGGAGCAGAAGTAGGTCATTCGACCCATTGGGCCTGCATCACCATTTGATGAAATCATGGCTGAGCTGATCATCGTCAAATCCACTTTCCTGCCTGTTCCTCATAAACCTTGTTTTCTTTACTGATTTGTAAAAATCCGTCTATCTCTGCCTTGAATACTCTTAGCACCGCAGCCTCTCCAGCCCTCTGTGGTAAAGGATTCCACAGATTCATTACCCTGTGAGAAGAAGTTCCTCCTCATCTCTGTCTTAAATGTGTGACCCATTATTCTGAGATGATACCCTGGTCCTCAATTCTCCTACAATTTCTCTGCATCTAACCAGTCAAATTTCCCTAAGAACCTTATATGTTTCAAGAAGGTTGTCTCTTTTATTCTTCTAAACTCCAATGAGTACAGGCCTAGTGTACTCAACCTGTCCTTGTAAGACAGTCCCTCCAAATCCAGGATCAGTGTAGTGATCCTTCTGTAGGCTACCTTCAATACCAGTATATCTTTCTTCTTTGATAAGGGGTACAGAACTGTTCATAATATTCCAGTTGTGGTCTGACAAGTGCCTTGGGTCTGGGCTTTCAGTATTGTTGCAGTGTGAATGAAACAATGACTACTATAGGACGTGTTAGGGAAGGTTGGTGATGTTTTTCTCTAATCTCCTGCTCTCATTCAGGGCGGTGTCTGCATTTTGGGAGGTCACTGAGAGCAGCACTATATACACAGCACTAATATGGCTAAGACAGTCTAAGAGTCCAAGCATGTGCATTATTTAACAGTTCATTGCTCTTCTCTCACAGGTGGAAGACCTTAATGCCAAATGGCAAAAGTACGACATCAGCCGAGAGGAGTACGTTAAGAACCTTCACCACCAGCTGAAAGATCTTAAGTCCAGGGTGGACCGAACTGGACTTGGTGCCCCTCAGGCTAACGAGAACGTGCTGCAGCAGGAGATCTTGCGACTAAACCGGCTGCTGGAGGAGAGTATGAAGGAATGTGGTCGCCTCGCAGTATTCCGGGATGGCCTTGACAAGGAGAGGGTGACCATTCAGCAACTCCGTGATGAACTACAAGCCGCACAGGCAGCTGAAGCTGCTGCTAACGAGAGAGTGCAAATGCTGGAGCAACAGGTACTGAGACAGAGAAACCGCCACCAGCCCTGACCTTCCTGCTCCCTTTAAAATAGGAGTGGGTTAATATTGCCTCACTGTTCCAATGAAAGTGCATGATTTCACATTTCTCTGCCCTGTGTTTCACCTCCTATGTGTTTTGCTATTTCATCATGTGTTTCAGTCAGACCGAAGTCTCCAGCTATCCTCCTGTTTGTTCTTGATGGCATTATCAAGTTCTGAAAATTCTGAAACTGTACCCTGTGCATTCAAATTGAGAGAAAATCAGAGAGAGGAGTGATGGTGTCTGTGCTTATGGAGATGAAGGCTCATTGGACCAATTGAGTATGTCCCAGCTTCAATCTCCCCTTAACAAATTGTCCCAATTCCTGGCAGAGGTGTCTGCCAATTTACACACATTTTGGGGAAATTTCTCTCTAACTCCCTGCCATTCCAGGCTCTTCATGACTCATCCCAGCCACAATTAGCTAGTGATTCGAAACATCTTCTTTTGTCAGGAACTTGGCAACTTCCCTTTTTTTTTTCAAAATTAAAAGTGCTGAAGTGAATCACAAAATGCCTTAGAGGTTCCATCCTTGGGGCCCCTCCTATGAACCAGGATATTGTCCATCCTTGAAACTTGGGTTTGGTAGTTAGCAGGAATGTGTGTCCTGACTCACCAATAAGCAGGTGAGGAATTGCTTTAGAGCTATTGCAGCATAGGAGGCTATTCAGCCAGTCGAGTCCATGTTGGCTGTTTATAGAGTTGATACATGATGTCATTCACCATTTCAGAACTTCACAGCACAAAGTGTTTTTTCTTTTTTTTTTTTAAGTGTAGTGAAGTAGGAACCACAGTAGCCAGTCTCTGATGTTGGTGAATCTTGTGGTAAAACATGATGATGGCCTGTGTAATTTTTCAGTGACATTGCTTGAGGGACTGACCAGGAACTGGGGAGAGCTGATCTGCTTCTTGCTGGCTTGAGCATGTAGCTTGTACAACTGTTATTCCCAAAAGGAATTTCAAGGCACTTTTCCTAAAGAATGTAAATTTTTGCTAATCTCAGTAAGAGATACACAAACTGTGTCCAGCTGTCTGCAGTTTATTTTTAACAGTCCGGTTTAGAATAGCTCTTAACCCAGCCTTAACCTCCCCGGCCCCTCCCTATTCTAACCATGGTCCCTCCCCCTCAGCCAGGTCCCAGAGATGGACTTTAGAGGATGATATCGAGAAAATATTTGTCTTTTTTTTTTTAATACTTATCAGTTCCCCAATTGAGGCAGAACAAATCAACCCAGAAAACCCAAACTCAACACAGAGTAAAATCCAAACCCATCATATTCCAACCCTCTCCCTCACCACCACCTCTTCCACCTTCCCTGTCACTCCGTCTCTGATCCACTTGCCATGTACCCACTGGTGTAGGCTGGTGTTTTTTTTTGCTGTTGCTGCTCCCTCCCTCCATTCTCTAACTGAAATTTACTTGGTTCCAGGTTCTTGTCTACAAAGATGATTTCAATTCTGAACGGGAGGACCGCGAACGGGCTCAAAGCCGGATTCAGGAGCTCGAGGAAGAAATGGCTTGCCTGAGGTTACAGTTGCCAGGGAAACAGGTAAGAAAAAAGGCAAGGGCTGCAAGTGGACAGTCACTGTGAAAGGATCAGTGTGAACTTAGCAACAGTCTGTTCTGTGGGTTTCGGCCACAGCTGTGTGTAGAGAGCACTCTCCTTCAAGCCAGAGGGTTAGTCCCACCCTTGGCTGAAGGTCTCAGTGCAGAACCGAGGCTGTGCTATGCTGTCAGAGCTGTCTTTCTCTGTACATTTAATCAAACCTCTCGTTGGTGGACATAAACATTTCTGTGGCATCAATTCAGACGAGCAGGAGAGCTCTCCCATATTATCCCTCAAGCATCAACTGCTAAAACAGATTACACAGTTATGGGTTTCATGTTGGGATCTTGCTGTGCACCGAAGAGCTGGCACATTTCTGATAGTCTATGCACTTCAAGAACTACGTGTTTGTAAAGTGGTTCAGGAAGACTGGGATTGCATAAGTTTGAGTCTCTTCTAATAATGCCATGCCACTGTTGCCCCCCACCCCCCGCACTTTCCAGATGACATCAAAGGAAAACACTCCTGTTTGTGGGAACTTGCTGTGCCCTCAAATTTGACCACATCAGTGAATTCAATCTGTTTTTAAAAAGTTTGTGATAAAGAATGAATTGCATATATATTGCTGTCTTTACAACTTGGAAATTGCTTTATTGCTGAGAAACTTTTAACTACATTCTGATGTCACTGTTGTAATGTTTATTTGATGAGGGTGTTGTACAGAGCCTGAGTCAAGTCACTGAGCATGCAGTAATTGTGCCTTTTTTGTTTTGTAGGAACACCGGGATGCAGCTGCCCATCACCACGGCAGGGTCAGCCCCTACTACTTGGAGCCCAATGTGCCAGCCCCATTGCTTGGTAATAGCGCAGAGACACCAGCGAAGATCTCTCGACCCTTACTGTCCAGTGGGAGCTCAGGTGCTGAGGCCAGACAACAAGGACTTCTGCAGTGCCCCAAGTGCATGAGGCTATTTAACGATGAGGTGAGCGACGAGTGCCTCAGGCACATCTCCGAGTGCTGCCAGTGAACCTACCCATCTCTTGGATCAAACCACCAGCAGCAAACGTTGAGTCTGATGTGCCTTCACCATGGGTCTTCCCATTGACACTGATTACACCATGTTAGCACCATTTGTGATGACTCATACTGAAGCAGTTCATGTCCAAAGGCAGAAAGACCTGGACATAAGCTATTGATAGACTAACATCAAGAAAATTCCTGGATTTACAGGAAAAACCTGCACAACAGTAACTTTAAACATTTCATACAAATGCTTCATCAATTGCTTTCTCGATCATAAGGTCAGAAATTGGGAGATTCACTGCTTTTTTTTGAATTGTTCAGTATCATCCATGATTCCTCAGGTACTGAAGCAGTCCATATGCAGCAAGACTTGGACAACAACCAAGAGAATGGAGAAGCCGTGGCAAGCAACATTCAGAGCACGCAACTAGCAGGCATTGGCCATCTGAACAAGAGAGAATCTAACCATTATCCCTTTGACATTCAATGGCACTACCAATACTGAATTGCCCACTATCAACATCCTCACAGGTCACCACTGACCAGGGATTGGATAGGACAAGCCTTGTAAATGCAGTGACTACTAGTAGGTCAGAGGTTGGGAATCCTGCAGTGAGTAACTCCCCTCCTGACTCCTCAAAGCCTGTCTATCATCTATCGCACACAAGTTAGGAGTGTGATGGAATACTCCCCACTTATCTGGATGGGTGCATCTCCTACAACACTTGAAGCTTGATACCATCCAGGACAAATCAGTCCACTTGATTGGCACATCCATGTCCACAAGTATCCACTCCTTCCACCACTGATGCTCAGTAGCAGCAGTGTATGTACTATCTATAAGATGCACTGCAAAAATTCACCAAAAATCCTCAGGCATCGCCTTCCAGACCCATGACCACTTCCATCCGAAGGACAAGGGCAGCAGATACGTGGGAACACCACCCCCTGCAAGCTCCACACCAAGACACTCACCATCCTGACTTGGAATAATATCAACTGTTCCGTCGTATCACCAGGTCAAATTCCTGGAACTCCTCTCCCCATCCTGGATGCTTTATAATAGTGCTGCATTGAAACCAGATTGTTTTTAGGTGGTTGAGAGAGAGGAGACAGACATGTTGCATTCATGGCAGCATGTAGGAGAGTTCTGCACAATCCGAGCTGCTGTCCTTTAGATGAGGTATTAGCTTGAAATCGGATCTGCTCTGTTAGATCCTAATGCCATTATTTCAGAGAACAGGGGATTTCTCTCTGGTTATCTGACTAATATTTATCCCCTATCCACTCATCACTAAAAGTAGATCATCTAGTGATTTGTTGCTGTTAAAGTTGCAGTTTGTGGAAGCTTGCTGTGTATTTTTCACAAATTACTTCATTGGCTCTAATGCACTTTGGAGCTTTTGAGAAAAGCACTATATAAATGCAACTCATTTTGCAACTTGTGTTGCAAGATATTAAGGTAAAAAACCCTGTGGTGAAATAAAATTGGTTTTTGGAGCCAGGAATACAGCTGGTTCCAGCATTAACACTGTATGGTCACTGCCTGGATACAGTGCATGTTACTCAGTGTTAAGTTATAGTACACTCTGGAGAAAGAAAGGAGGGAGAGAGGGTTAGGAGGGAAATGGAATGCCAATGACCAGAGCTTACATCCAGAATTACAGAATCTGAGTGATGAGAGAGACGGGGAAATAGAATGTGGAATAAAATTAAAATTCACTTTACAAACAGCTGATATGAGATAATGAGGTGAGTTCTAAGTTGTAGCCATAAAAAAAGTTACTATTTGCATATCTGCAAGTGTACAGTAGGTAAGGAAATTAATCTAATGAAGATGCAGTGAAGGAAACAGCCGTAGTCTGAAAAACACCTGGTCCTCAGCTGCCATATTCCTCACACATCATGTCTCCAGTTCCTCCTACACGCCACCCTGAAACGCATCTTTGAGATGGGCATTTCCTGTTGTTTCTGATGCCTGGGCCATTGTGCAGCTTCCCCTTCACGCCTGTGGGGAAATCTCATTAACTGCTGGTGGAATCAGGAAGCGGTGATGGGGCCCAGTGCTTTGCACTGTCTCTGGTGAAGGCCAACACTGGATCAAGCTGTCTCTCTCCACAAAGTTTTATGGTAGGACTGAGATGACCTCATCAATGCCAAATTTAAAATGTGTTGCACATTGAAGCGCATACCTACCCTTATGTGCAACACTCAACTATTGGGGCAAGTCCACAGTGGAAAATAGATTAAATCGAGAGCTTTGATCTTAAACAGGTATTTATTGAGTTATTTAAAGAAGTGTTTAATTTTATTGCACCAGTTTGTGTTAAGGCTCATTTGAAAATTCATTATTTTAAACTGATAAACAAAGATTGAGCCTGTTTTCTTTCCCTTGCCCTGAAGTTATTCTGTATCTGTACTTATTCAATGTAATTTTGCAGGGGTTTCTCACGTGCCCAACCTTCTGACATTGCTGAAAGTCTTGTTCTAAACCATTTCCATCCTGCATAAAGAGGTTTAAACGATATCTTCTAAATATATACATTGCACCTGAATTTGGCTAAGATGTTCTTTTTGGTTTCACAAAGTTGACTGGTGTTGGCTTTGAGTTATAACTGCACATGGGGGAGTAGTACAGTGTCAGTGTTGGGGGCCAAGCTCTGAGCACCAGGAATGATACTTATTTGAAGAGCTGGTGCAGGCACAACGGGCTGACTGGCCGCCTTCTACGCCATAAACAGTTATGGTTTTTTTTTTTTCCTGAGCTCTGGTGGCATGTGGACCAGAACTGAACAGTTAGTCCAGGTAGGCTGTGACCAAGCCTCTGAACAAATGAAGCATCATCTCCTCCCCTTTGTAGGAGTGTGATAACCAAATATTTCTATTGAGGGTACTGGGCCGGCAACTATTGTTCCTCTGTCTGAGCCTTGACAACTTTTTCTTTGGGAGGTAGGTTTCCGCTTCCCATCCCGAAGAACTCTTGATCACCTGACCAGTCTAGTCTACTTTTAACAACCTACCCCTCCTCCAAGCACAGAGTTTCCATCCAGCCTCGACGACTCTAGTCATCTCCAGTTACTCGGTATGAGAACAGTAAAATACTTGATGAAAATTCTGGAAATTCCAATGGGGTTGCCAGACTTTCAGGTATGAAAAACACAAGAATGGATAGTTTGTGAACAAGTGCTCACGCAAATTGGTCTATTTATTGGTAGCAGCATCATTGGATCCAGCACAGAGTATGGGCTCCAGTGGTCATTCAGAATTGCACAATGGTTCAGTTGTGTCAGATCTATTTTAATAATGTTCTGTGATTCTCATTGCATTTTACTCATCCTCCCTTATGTATTTTTGTAATTTGTTCCACCAAAGTTTTACTACTTGTAATTTCCTGCCTCTTTGTGGCATGACATAACTATGATGAACTGTTAAATTTGTTTAAATTATTTTTATATTAAAATAATTTTTGAAAAGTTTTGGTGTGTTTAGTGTCTAATACTTCACCAGTTTGAGAAATGTTAAAACAATATCCTTCTGCATTGTTTCATTCCGCCCACTGCCCTTGTCCATACTTGTGATTCTAAAATAAAATGGTGCAGATCCTGGAACTATGAAACCGACAAGAAAATGCTGGGATACTTAATTCTGATGGCATCTGTGGCCACAGAGAGAACTGAAAAAAAATTCATTTTTAAACCAGAACTTTTTTGGGATGATAGCAGCTCAGAAATGGGCGCAAGCACACTATGAAGTTGTATTCAAGACAGTGGCTTACCATTAACTTCTTGAAATGGGCAATAAATGTTGCCCTTGTCTGCAAGGCCCACCTCCTCCGATTTGAATCTCTGTCTGAATGCCTGTAGCTTTTGTTACAAAATGGACGAATCCCCCACTATCAACATCCTGAGGGTTATCATTGGCCAGAAACTCAAGTGGCCTCACTACATAAACACAGTGGCTACAAGAACAGCTCAGAATACTGCTGTTCGTAACTCACCAGCTGATTCCCCAAAGTGTGTCTATCATCTACAAGGCACTACCCAGGATTATGAGGGAATACTCCTCACTTGCCTTGGGTGCAGCTCCAACAACACTCAAGAAATTTTGAGGCATGTTCAATACTTTGGCGCTGGAGGAACACAACAGCATCAGAGGTGCAGGAAAGTCAACATTTGGGTTTACACCCTTCATCAGGACTGGGAGAGGGGGAAGGGAGCTGGGAAGTAAATGGAGGAGGGGTGGGGCTGGAGGACGGTAGGTGGATGCAGGTAGTGGGTGGTGGAGATTGGTCAGTGATGGACAGGTTGTGTCAGATCAAGGAGGCAGGGATGAGAGGGGGTGTTAGACATGGAATGAGGCTGGGGGTTGGGAGATTTTAAAACTGGTGAATTCTGAGGCCATCGAGCTGTAGGCTCCTGAGGTGGAATATGAGGTGTTTCTCCAGTTTGCATGTGGCATCATTGTGGCAGTGGAGGAGGCCCAGGATGGACATGTCACACGGGGAGTGGGAGGGGGGAGTTAAAATGGTTGACAACTGGAAGGTGTTGTTGATTATTGTGTATAGAGTGCAGATGCTCCACAAAAATACCACCAAGTCTGCACTTAGTCTCACTGATGTAGGGCAGACCACATCTGGAGCAACAGATACAGTAGACCAGGTTGGAGGATGTACAGGTGAACCCCTGTCAGAAACGCAAGGTTTGCTATAGGCCTTGGATGGAGGTGAGGGGGGAGGTGTAGGGGCGGGTGTAGCACTTCCTGCGGTTGCAGGGAAAGGTGCTGGGGTTAGTGGGCAGTGTGGAGCGGACAAAGGAGTTGCGGAGAGAGCGGTCCCTACGAAAGGCAGATAGGGGTGGGGAGGGAAATATCTCTGGTGGTGGAATGGGATTGTAGGTAGCAGAAATGGCGGTGGATGATACGCTGGATGTGGAAGTTGATGGGGGTGGTATGAGGGGGCTAGAGGGACTCTGTCTTTATTTTTGTTGGAGGGAGGGGTTGTGAGGGCTGAAGTGTGGGATATGCAAGTGATACAGTTGGGGGCACTGTGGGTCAATGGAGGAGGGAAGTTATGATCTTTGAAATAGGAGGATATCTGGTATGTTCAGGAGTGCAACGCAACATCTTGGGAACAGATGCGGCAGAGGCAGAGGAATTGGGAGTAAGGGATCGAATTCTTGCAGGAGGGTGGGTCAGAGGTAGTGTAGTCCAATCGGTGGGTTTGAAATAGATGTCAGTGTTGAGATGGTTACCGGAGATAGAGACAGAGAAGTCCAGGAAGGGGAGGGAGGTATCGGAGATGGTCCAGGTGGATTTGAAGTTGGGGTGAAAAGGTGTTAGTAAAGTTGATGAACTGTTCAAGCTCCTCGTGGGAGCCTGAGGCAGGAGCGATACAGTCATAATGTAGTGGAGGAAGATGTGAGGTTTGGTGCCGGTGTAACAACAGAAGAAGGACTGTTCCACGTATCCTATGAAGAGACAGGCCTAGCTTGGACCCATATGGGTGCCCATAGCCACTCCTTTAGTTTGTAGGAAATGGGAGAAGTTAAAGGAAAAGTTGTTGAGGGTAAGGACAAGTTCTGTTAAGCGGATGAGGGTGTCGGTGGAAGGGGACTGGTTAGGTCTGCGGGAGAGGAAGAAGCGGACGGCTTTTAGGCCATCTGCGTGGGGGATACAGGTGTACAGGAATTGG